GCAGCAAAACCAACAGTTCAGAACTCTCAAAACTACTCAAGCAAGATCCCTGGTACGTTCTTCTCCATACTGCGGTATCCAAGATGACATCAAGTGGATATACCACCTCCAGGTACTGATACAGTTTGGCAGGTGGGAGTAGCCCCCCCTCCCACATACAGGAAAAAAGTGAAGAAAGGGAAAATTAGAAGCATTTGTCTCACATACCTTCCCCCATACCTTAACCCTCCCCAACCTATTTAGTGGTCCTTATGGGCATGAATTCTTGTCAACTACGTGACAAAAACAAAAATGAAATAAAACTGTAAAAACATTTAAATTCTTGTACTCTAACACTATATTTCGGGATAAGACGTGGCCTTACAATCTCTGTATAACCTTAGAAATTAAAAATTATCTTAATAAAATTATTATAATATAGTTTATATACAAAAGCTAGCCTTGTCATTTAAATTAGAGAAAAGATAAATCGAACAGTGAGACTGGCAGCAATTCAGAACTGTTAAACTATCAAAACTGCTTGAGCAGGACCCTTGGAGAGTGCCTTGCAATGGGGACCTGGGATGGGAAGGAGGCTAGGTGGGGATTTTCCCTTTGTTTCTCCCTTGACCTCAGATCCAGGGGAAAAGAATGATATCAGTGTGGAAACAATGGTCTTACCCACTTTCCTGTAACCCTTGACCCTTTGTACCCTAAACAACTAAGTAAGATTAATTTAAAAAAAAGATAAATCAACATGCTCCATACTTCAACTGAAAACAGTCTCTAAATTTAAAGTTGCATTTAGAAAACAGCTAAGGAGTAAAATCACAAATTTGGGAGCTCATTTTCATTTTTTTACCACAATCTACATTTTAAAAATTCCATTAGTGTAAGACAGTATGTCGGGATAATCAATATGGCAGGGTAAGCACACATCTAAACAGAGAATCATTAGTCAGGGTGAAGCAGAGAGGGCACATTCCAGGAAGTAGGAGAGGACAGGCTGAAAGCAGAGAGGCACCTGGAGATGGATGGACATGGGAAAGCAGTGAAGATAAAGGCATGCCATTGCAGTGACCCGATAACCGAGCAGCAGTCAGTGAGCAGCAAACAGAGCTCCACCAGCAGCCTGGTGGGAAGAGGAGTCCACCAGGAACTCAGGAAGTGAACCCAAAGAATTGCCCGTCCTGCTGATTTGTTTGATTCAACCAGGAACAGAGACAGAGTAGCAGATTCCAAACAGGCGCAGGAACAGGGTCACAGTCAAGAAACTCACAAGAGCCTCATGGGTGCCATTTTATATAGGAAGACAAAGTCTATAGGACAGGATGGCGCAAGCACTGAGCTTGCAGCAAACTTATCTCAGCTTAGTGCATTGTACTGACATAGCAAACTACAGGTTCCACCTAAAATAGGCCCATGTAACCACCAGACCTAATGGCCAGCAGATCCAGAACTCTACCAGTTGCTACTGTGGCAAAGGCTGTGTGCATGTGCTGCACTGGGAGTGAACCCACTAAGCTCAGTGCATTGCACTGGTCCGACAGGGAAAACAATGCTGACTTTGGCATTCTACGGGTCAAAAGAGGTCCAGGTGGCCCTCAGCCCTAACAGCAAGCAGGTTCTGGCAAGATCAGTGCCAACAACAACCAAAATATTTGGGACACCTGGTGTCTCTCTGGGAACTGCTTGAACTGGAAGTGGGAAAAAGATTGTACAGACAACAGTACAGCCTCAGCATGAGATCCCAGGAGGAGGAGAGTGCCCATGCCAGGAGCAGGGGCTATGGAGACCATGTTGGAAGCCTAACATAAGAGCCCAGATCTGAAACTTGCTGGAAGGAGTGGCACAAGTGACTGCAAAGAGCCAGGTACCAACCATAATCAATAAAATCGAACTGTAACCAGTGCGTGAGACAGCTTAGAAAGCTGCACTAAGGAAAAGAGCCTGCTAACCAGAAGTACAATCACCAAGAGGAAAAAAAGAGACAGAGGCACAATGAATATCACTAAAGACTCTCCTGCAAAGGAGCAAAAGCCTTTGACAACCTCGGGGTTAACTGAGGAATCTATCAAAGAAATGGGGGATAGAGAATTCAGAAAACTCATTATAAAGCTTCTTATCAACAATGAGAAACACATACAGGAGTTCAAGGAATTAAGGAGTATGTCAAAAAGGAAACAGCAATAGTGAAACAAAATCAAGCTGAGTTATTGGAAATGAAGGACAAAATAGAGCAAATTAAAAATTCTGTGGAAAGTCTCCATAATAGAATGAAGGAATGAGGCAGAAGAAAGAATCTCAGAATTGAAAGATATTTCTTGTCACAGTGGCTAAATGATCGAAAAGCTGGAAGCAGAGCTGGGTCAAGCTAAAAAAAAAAAGTGTTCAAGAATTAAGACACTGTACAATGGTCAAATAAAAGAGTTACGGGAGTTCCAGAAGGCACAGAAAGAGAAGCTGGGTTTAAAGCTGTATTCAATGAAATAATAAATGAAAACTTCTCTAATCTGGAGAAAGAATCGGTAAACAATATTAAAGGAGGGGCAAAGAACTTCCAACAGGGTTGACAAAAAGCAGTCTTCACCATGACATATGATAATCAAGCTCTCTTTAACTGAACATAAAGAAAAGCTCCTTAAATATACATGAGAAAAAAAAATATCAACTGACCTATATAGGAATGGGAATCAGACTTATAGCTGATGTCTCACAGGAAATTCTACAGGCCAGAAGAGAATGAAGCAACATATTTCAGACTCTAAAAGCAAAATATTGTCAGTCCCAGAGTAATGTACCCAGAAAAATTTTCCTTTGTCTTTGAAAAGGAAACAGAATTCTTCCACAGTAAAGAAAAGCTTTAAAAAATACACCTCTTCACACCTGCCCTATAAATGATACGCTCTCTTAACAGAGAAAAATAGCATCTACCAATACCAAAAGCAAATGTGAAAACCATCCCAGTAAAACAACGACAAAAAAAAGACTAAATCAAACAATAAACAATCCATTGCTAAAATGACAGGACCAAATGACCACCCATTCATATTAACCCTGAATGTAAATGGCTTAAACACACCAATTAAATATCATAGTTTGATAGACCGTATTAAAAAACAAAACCCAACTATCTGTTGCCTACAGGAGACATATCTCGCCAAACAGATCAGCAGAAACTATGTCTCATAGATTCTGATGCTTTTATTTTTCATTTCTTCAAAATAGTTTTTTTTTTTTCTCATAATAAATTCTTCACTGACTCACAGGTCAAACAGTAGCATCATTGTCTGCAAGAAGGTTCTTGATTTTCTTTTTGACTTATTAAATAACATATTAGTCATTCAGTAGCATGATAATTAACTTCATGGTGTTGTAAATTTCCAATTTTCTTCCTGTTGTTGATTTTGTTTTGTGGCTTTTTATTTAAGTGGATGTATAGTAACTGTGTAATGAAGAGTATCAAATCCAGATGTGAGGATACAATACAGCATGCATCTCTACTTCCAGATCAAAGATGGACTCCCAATGAAACTGTTGACTATATCTTGATAATAGGATGCTGGACTCTCTGTCATTGTCTATGCCCACAATGATGGACTTATGGCTGCTTATGGCCTACAGAACTACATCATAAAATAATAATAATAATAACAATAATAATAATAATGGACAAATTCCATTAGTAGTAAAGTTTACTTAAATTACATTTTGGAGAATTGTGTTCAAAGTAATAGCCCCCAAAACAAAAGTTCAACAGAATTTCCCACATGTTTTATTAACTTGTTTTTACTTTTTATTGACTTACTTTCTTTTTATTTGAGAGGCAGAGAGTGAAAGAGCCCCGTTAACTCTCCAAGGGGCTAAAAGCTAGGGCTGGGCCTGAAGGCAAGGTATTCTATGGGGTGACAGGGATTCAAGTACTTGAGCCATCATCTGCTGCTTGAAGGATAAGGAATACAGGCATTACAAAAACCATATCATATGTCTGCCCTTCCTAATACTAACATAGAATCACAAGACACAGTCAGTTAAGGAAAGCTTTTCATCTTGTCCTTTTAAAGGCAGACCAACATAAAACAGGAGAATAAAGCTCCTCTCCCAGAACACAGTCAAAGGGATCAAACCATTACAGGGAGTAGAATTTCTACATAAAGCTTATTTTTCTGCACACTGAGATAAAGTCAAAATAATTACCTAAGGAAAAGTTTAGTCCTTCAATTGCAATTAGACTGATATCCTTAACTGGCTCAACACTTTCCCAGGAGAATAAATGCTATAGCTAACCCAATTAAAGATGACTTGTAATCCCACTTTTCATGAGTGATAGAGAACAGTTGTAGTCCAGGCATTTCTGAAACACACACACACACACACACACACACACACACACCCCTATCCAGATTTAAAAAAAACTCAGCAGAAAGAATATAAGTGAAGAGAGAGAGGTACAAATGGATTGCCACCCACAATTATATTGACAGGCAGAGAGAACAATAGTTTTTCAAGAGGTGCCAAGTTTGATACCAGCAAGAAGTTTAGAATGCTATACAAGAAAAGCCAGTAATTATGAATTCTATTTTAACAAGAAGATGTGAGAAAAACTTAATGCTCTATTTTGTGCTTTTTGAATGAAAATTATCATGATGGCACTAAATGGTATGAGAGCATCTTTGAACCAAATGTATTATACACCACCTTTGCTATAACTTAACCTGTATTTTGTAAACTGATCTAAAGGTACTATTTCTTATGATATGAAAACATTATATTCAGAACATGAAGCAGCATCTTGATGAAATATAAGAAACATCCTTCTCAAGTACTGAATCTTAAGTTACTGTGAAAATATTTAGAGAGAAACTTCATACAATTATGTAGGTAGCAGATAGAAACAACTTCAATCACCACTTAATCCTATCAAGGCATTAAAAAGCCAAAACAAAACAAAACAAAACAAAACTAGCTTGTGCTTCAATGGAAGCACACTCAAAACATCAAAATAAGTCTTCTTCACTTACCCTTGCATAGTGGAATTCAACTCCATAGAGTTCTAAGGTACGTGCTGTATTTAGGTAATTAAATTCTGCTTCTGCAGGAGTTAAGCCTCTGTAAAGGAATCAATCATTAAATATTAGATCAGTCACAAATATGGCCAAATTTTAAAATGTCATGGACCTAGAAAAATGTAAGCAGTCTAATTAAATCCTCCATAAAGCACATATAGAGCTACTACTCTACAGTAATAAACAAAGGGGACACTTTTAGTAATCCAATGATTATTTTCAAAAATTACAGTTAAAACAGTAATTTAAAAAAAATGGTAGATGTTCTTATGAGTATAACAAAACCACTCACTTTAAGATATAAGCTGAAATCTGTATTTCTTAAAGTTTGGTTCATACTCCATATCTGCATCGAAATCACTCAGTATGCTTCTAAAAGGAAGAAGATTCTAGGGCAACCTCCAGACCAGCCGCTCAGAGTATGATGCAGACAGGTGCTGACTCACAAGCACAGCAACTGACAGCACTAATGCCTCTGATAACTATCAAGTAATTTTATGTATACGGACTGCAACCTCCAAAATATTGCGCTTGGTTTTTCTTTTAATGCCTATAGTTTATTTCTCCATTTTATTTCAACAGCAATTTACTTTTTTTCTTCTCTCCCCAAATATCTTATAAAAATGAAATGACGACAGGTTGGGGAAGAACTGGTCTTCCATCAGTTTCTGAAGCCGAGTTTCTTAAAGTTTGATGTGAAAGAATCATGTCTGAATTGTTCACATTTAGCAAGAGTCTCAAATAATTCTTAATAAGTTCGAAAACGATGGTCTAAATGTAAAGCCTTTAAAAATAATTTATTCTTATTTCATACATGGTTCCAGAAGCAACTTCATTATCACACCTGAGCAAAGAAAAGCAGTAACCTATAGAAGCAAAGCAGCCAACAAGCTGCCAATGAATGTTCATAATACGAATCCTCTAAAAGCAGACATGCTTTCCATTTCTATAAACTCAACTATAAATACAAGGTTAATGCTATTAAATAAAGGTTCCCTTAGTCAAACTGCATATTTCTATTTTTCATTGTTAGAAGAATTTGATAAATCATTTTAAAAACAAAATAGAAATATAGAATTAATATCTCGTTAAATACACAAATTTTTTTGGTATTATACATAAGAGAATTTTATTATTGGTATACTTTAAAAATTTGGTTTATCCCCAAACCATCTGATTCAGATGTGCTGTATATATGCAGACCTTTAATTGTAAACGATAAATACTTTTAAAACAAGATTATCCCCCCTGCATTACGCCATTCTTATTAAAACTCTTAGCAACTTGTTAGGGGTCAGAATAGATGTCCCGGGGAAGAGTAGTATTTCAGGATTTCCTTCTATATGGTCACTGTGACACACTATGAAATCAGTCACAAATGACATAAAAACAAATGAGGGTATCCATGTCCTAGTAAGTCTTAGATAACACTGAAATTCATAAAAATTTCACAGGCCACACATGCTTTTTGTTTTTGTTTCTCAACCATTTAAAATGCACAAATTAGTCTAGCTTATGGACTGTACAACATATGTAATGGGCTATCACTTAACACTTTGTTTTAGATAAATGGTCCATGCCACAATGAAATTTTAGTGTTATTTAACATTTCCATTCTTCTCTTAGATCATCACCAAACAAAACTAACTCCTTTCACAGAGCTAAAAACTTGAACGAATTACTACACAGATTGATATATCTACTATTAATAACCTAATAATATGCTTAAGTAATAACCTCATAGAGTAGCAAATAAATGAGTTTATGTATGCCTCTGTGGTTCCTAACAGAAACGAACACAAGGTCTGGCACAATGGCTCACTGGCTAAATCCTTGCCTTGCAGTGCCAGTATCCTATATGGGCACTGGTTCGTGTCCTGGCTGTTCCACTTCCCATCCAGCTCCCTGCTTGCGGCCTGGGAAAGCAGTAGAGGATAACCCAAAGCCTTGGGATCCTGCACCCATGTGGGAGACCCAGAAGAAGCTCCTTGCTTCTGGCTTCTGGCTGTGCACCAGCGCAGCTCTGGTTGTTGTGTCCACACAGGGAGTTAGCCAGTGGATAAAAGAGCTTCTGCATCTCCTTCTCCAATAAAAATAAATAAATCTTTAAAAAAGAAAGAAATGAATACAAGCATATATAGTCATAAACTAAACAATGACATGTAAATGCTTGTTTTTATTTATTTGAGAAAGACAAAGGGCTCTTACTCATTGGTTTATTCCTTGGTTGGGGCTGTTGTCAGGAGCTGGCAATGCTCTTCCATGTTTGTAGTAGGAACCCAATGAGCCATCATTTCCAGCCCCTGGGTCTGCATTTGCGGAAGCTGGAGTTATAGGAAATTAAGCGCAGGTCTCTGATTTGGGATGCAGGTATCATAGCCACTATATTAAATGCCCACTCCAGGAATTTTTTTAAGGTAATTATTAACATTTCTTCCTAATAATGTTATTGTATGTAACAATCAAGGAAATCAGGAGTATTTTTAAGTTCTCTAGGAAAAATGCCACTAAGAAGTTCATCAAATACATAGAAAATCAAATCAATCCTTACATATGCTGTTGATGTAATTTTGCAATTTCCTTTTCAAAATCTTGAGGTTGATTAGGAATGAAATAATAATCTGAGAGGTAGCCTGGCAAGTTCTCTGACTGATTGTAGTCTCCAAGTTCAGCTAATAATGAGAAGAAAATATTCACATTTTAATAAGTAATTTTATCAGTTACTATTATAGCAAATCAGAAGTGTCATTAAGTTCCTTTTATTTTTGGAAATAAAATATGCATCTAAAGTAAGCAAACTGAAACAAAACTCTTCTAAATTTAAATAATCTCAGACACAACTTTTTTTTTTAAGATCCACAAGCTCTTACTAACTACTCAGACACTGCAATGTATTTCCTCTACAGTTACTATCTTCTGCTTGGTGACATGTCTAAAGTGTTCCCACGTGAAAGATGAAGCACTATCAATGCAGAGCCAAAATAACATACTGCATGTGAGCTGATACTTACACTGAACAGCAAATGAAGCTAAAAGGGCAGCAGTGTTGCAAGGACAGGACAGTCTGAAAAAAAAAAACACACAGAAAACATAACTCAATCTTAAATACTAACCCCCAAAAGTACTACTAACTTTAATATTATACATGAAGTTTCTGTTTTTTAAATGATTAAGAAATCAGCTTATCTCGTGAAAGGAATTCATAGTACATGTAGATATTTTTTGACAAATTTGTTGGCAGTTATACAAATTACTTTAAAAATATAGAATTAGATATTATTTTAAAAGTCCATTACACATTAAAAAAATTAAATAGCCCACCTTCCAGTGAGAATGTCTTGCTTAATTTGCAAAAAGTACTGGTACCTTTAAAAGAAAGATAACAGTTATTATACTTTTAACAACTTCAGGTATAAGAGAGACTGTGTGCTTATAAGACTGAGACATCTTTACCATATACACAGTAGCACATATAAAGCTTTCATAAATTCACAAAAACAAATCTTTCAAAAATTCCTTGATGAATCAAATTTTATTTTTCAAACACTTAATTTTCATTAACTTTCCTTTTAAAACTGCTCAAGAATAAAAGACTTGCACGGTTCAGGAAGATGCACTTTGAGGACTGACATGTGCAGAAAGAACTGGGAAGCAGAGAAACTTAATTAAAGTGCCAGAAACACAGGAGAGATGATGCCGATAAGACACTAAGACCATTAAAAGAAAATCACACTCTTTACTCCATTAAAAGAAGCTGACTGAAAGAACAAGCCTTGGTGCTATGTTAGCATGCAGCTTGTTGTAGAGCAGCCCTTTCCTACCTCCTGTGGCACCCAAGTGTGCTTCCACCATTAGTTCCTTTCCTTATCATTGATTATAATTGGAACTGTCGAATACCACATGTCCTTTAAAACCAGCAAAAGCAGAAATACTTCATAATAAGACTATCACCCCACAGTAGGTACACCACTTATTCAAAATGATCAAAATGCCCAGGCACCACCTGTGCTATATAATGTTCAGAGAAGACCAGATTTTGTAGTTTTAAATGGTAAAGGAGAATTTTTAAACTCTTGCTTTACCCAATTAAAGAGTCAAAAGCAAAAAAAAAAAAAAATCCAGTACAGCAAAGTAAAATCATTAAAGAGCTTCCTGACCAAACACAAATTACCAAAGAACATAAGATTTTTAGAAAACCAGATATTCACTACTTGAAAAAAAAGGACATGTTATAAATACCCTACTTCATATATTAATGATGTAAACTCCCTGTGAAGCCTAATGCATCGTTATCATAAATATTACTGACTTAATCCAAGACAGCATATTTCCATTTGGTTTCCTAATTTAAAGTGACAGCTTCCTGATACAAAGCAATCTTACAGTTATGATTTAAAGGTCCTTAATGCCTTTGACATAATATCCTAACTCCTACACATTTAGGAGGGTCAGAGCGGGAACCAAAAGCCTGGACCCAGGCTAATCAGCTTCCTTGCTATTGAATAAGTTACTTATATTTTGGCTGGACCTCAGATTCTGCATCTGGATATAGAGAGTAATAACAGTTACCAAGGGAATATAGCTCAGGAATTGGAAAAATCCAATTATAATTATGCCAGTATCTGCTAATACTGGCAAACTGATGCAAATAGACTATTTTTCCCCGTGAATTCAAACTGAAATCTCGAAGTAGATCTTTTGTTCTGTGGGTCTAGTCTACAACAGTCCTGAAAATACTGCCAAGACTGTCTTGTTACTAATCACATTAAGAATACCAAGTGCTAAAGTTTTAAGAGAGTACCTATGAACCTAGGCTGTATATTAGAACCACTTGGGGAAGTTTGTTCCATGTGAGACCTGTTAATCTCAAGTCTAGGAGGGTAGCCATGACATCAGTTTAAAGCTCCCCCAAGTCGTTCTAACTCAAAGTCAGGGCAGAAAATCATTAAAAACTAGTCATTTACTCTTTTTATCTAATAATACATTCTATAACATTTCATGTTTTTGAATAAAGCATTATTGCTAGTGAAAACAATCTTCCAGACCCATGAACTGAACACACAATTCCTCAACTGCTATCAAACTTCATTTCACTTTCTTCTATTTCTGGAAGTTATTTTGACTGTTATTGTGAGACACACTAATTCATTGCGTTCTTATGTTTTCAACCAGCTATAAAAGAATTAATACATTAAAACCCATTCAGAAATTCAATTTTCTGAGTACATTACAAACCTGGCTATATAGATGATAACATTTTTACTGTTACATTAACAAATTTTTCATAAACATTAAACACATAGAAATCCAATTTCAAGTCACTTTTATTTTAGTTAAATATTTCTTATGCATTTAAAATCTGATTCCATAAAACAAAAATTATAGCAGACGCTGATACTTCATTTGTAACTGTACAATCCTACAAATAGTAAACTGCACTTAATATTGTTTTATAATTGAAAGTTTTCATTGATTCCTAGTAGCAGCAATCTTGGAATACATGCAAAATTAGGGGAAGTTTTGTAAAAGAAAATTATTTAAGTAAAAGATACAACACTGCCATTTTAATTAACAACAACAACTCCAAAACCTGACAGATTAAAGGTTACAATGTTGTATTAAGGTATTCACATAACACAACTTTGCTTTTCAAAATAAATCAGTGTGGATACCACCATTACTTTCAAACGTTAGCACTGTCTAAGCCAGAACCTGTAAGCCATCACACCCTTTCCTTCTCATCAGAAGAAAAGAATCATCAAAAATGTCAATCTTACTTTCTATACTTGTTTTACTAATGAAGACTCTACAGCTGAGAACTGTCAGTTTAAGTTAAATATTTTTAATTTACCCTTTTGTTTTTCCACTCCAACACAGTATGCTAGTCAATTATAAATTCACTGAAAGCTGACATCTATAGGCAGATTTAGGTACAGATTTTTAATTTGGTATTTTTCTTTTAGATAATTCTGAATATAGCCAATATATTTTTATATCTGAAGATTTTACCGAAGATATAGACTGCTAGTGTTTTATTTTGTCATTCTGTTTCTTAAGCTACTAATTCTGTCTTTCAAACAACACACGGGGGTACCATTCACATTATTTTAGTATCAGCTATCACACTGTCATTTCTATTTATGTCTACCCTAATATTCAAAAAAGCTATCAGAATGTTTACTTGGATCATCCTTGGCACATGGTGTCCAGTTAAATGACAATAAAACAACACTGCAACATAAGCTCAGACTAGAACTGGGCAGGAAAGGGGCATGGAAAGGTCTGAACAAGCTACAGTACTCCTTTTAACACCCTTCACAAAGTACACTTTTTTTTTTAGGAGCAAAGATTAAAAAAAAAAAAATCACCGGGAAATACAAAGGTACTTATATGCTCACAATACGATGCTGCAATACATTTTACAAATGTGATGTCCTCAATGAAACTATACGTAGAATATACTTTAAAAAAAAAAAATCCTCACCTTGTAGCATTCATTGGATACAAATTCTGTGTGATGTGTTTACTCCTTTATTCACAGTAGCGTTTGTGTGGCTTAGGAGTTTGCCCATGGCTGGATGGGCTGGCTCTGAGGCCTTAAAGCCCACAGCCAACGAAAAGGGCAGAAATAATTACCTTTGAATAAATTTAACTTAGTCTAGGTACTGGTTGGGAAACAAAATCGCAGTGTGGTAGTCTGTTTTTGCCTAACCCATTTAAAAATCTCATATTTGAACTCTGACAATATGTTCAAGAAAAACACGCTTCATAAACCCACCTTGTGTATTCTTCTTGTAACTTGTTGGGGTCACTTACAAAAAATTTGACTCTAAAGTTCAAACTGTAAGGAGATCCTCCTAGAATTAATAAAAGTAGTTCTAATTAATCAGATTATATTAATTGTTTATGTTTGAAATGTATACTTTTAAAACATCAAGTAAATATGTATGCTCACTCTTTAGCTGCTTCCTTATTGGTTTGTTTGGATCCAGCCACCTCTGAAAAATAAATAAATAAAACTGATAGCTTTTTTTCCATAAGAATTAATATATCAATTCTTGCAAATCTGTTCCACTTGAAGATTAGTGCTAAAAAACTGCATTTCTGAAAAGGATTAGGATATAAAAAATTCACTAAGTTACACACAACATTGTTCATATCAAATATAACACAAAACTTATGCTGGAAACTATGGAAAGAATGTGCAATAGCTTTAAGAGCTGAATCTCCTATCAAGTTATACAATGTGTTAACAACTGCTGTTTCAGAAGTCAAGATGCTTATAATAACTGCAGCAATGTAAAGTAATTTGCATTAATTGAATTATATTTTAGCGAAAAAAATTTTAAATTTGGTTCACCTTTCATAGAATAAAATTTGGGGATTTATACTCTGGATTTAGATAAAATCCAAATACAGAAATTGAAAATTCACTATCAGGTGAATTTTTTTTAACTTTTACCCTATTCCTTAAAAAAAAAAAAAATACACTCCTACCCTCCCCCCAAACTAGTAATTTTATGAGATAATGCTTACTTTTAGGAAGCATGTCATACATATTTTTGTGTGTGAAAGTTTTAAGCACTCTCAGTACTTTGAACACCAATCAAACTCTATTTCTGGAAGATTATGAATAAATTCAGAAAATATTTCAAATGCTACAATATTTTCAGTTAAAAATGAAGATATAAGGGCTAATATATGATAGTATTTTTAAAGGAATACACAAATAGAAGTACTTCAATAAACCTGACTCTACTATCCTGTATACCACTCCACATAAATAAAAACAACAAGGATTTTAATAACAAATGGCTAGACAAAATCCATGAGACCTTCCTTTCAATTATCCATAACATTCAACACATTACACTCATTTGAGTCTCTATCTACAGACTATGACTAACATTGATCAATCCTTCTTTTTCTACTCGGTCACCCATCCTTGTTCCTGGGCTACACTCTGATATCAGCCACTTAATTATTTCCCACCTCCTTTTATAACTGTTCTCTTCACCCACCGTCTGGAAGCTGGAGTAGTCTTTTACAATATAAACATGACTATGTCACTCTTGATAATTTTTTCACACTTGATCATTTCTTGGTGCTATGCCCAAAGTCTTCACTATGGCTTGCAGGGCACCTTCTTACGTCTTGTAACTCAACAGTTCCATAACAAAAAGCCTTTCTGCTTCTCTATGATGCTACTTCTGGGCCATTGATTTCAAGTTCCCTTTCCTAGGAGAAAGGCCTTTTGCTTCCTTCCTTACGGCTAGTTTCTTTTATCTCTAATTCTCAGCCCAAATGCTCCCACCTTACAAAGACCTTAACCAATCACATAACCAATAATATGTCACATGTTATGTCCTAGTTATTTGTTTTCTATAAACAAGCAAGTAATAAATTCCTTTATAACATTTTCTCAATTACTTTAACATCTGTCTCCAGTAGATTACAGACTCATGAAAGTATTAAAGTCTCTTTTAGTCAATACAGGATAAGCAGCATCTACCATAGGGTTTGGTATATCACATATTAAAATAGTTATTGGGGAGCCAATGTAGAGTTGAAACAAAACGGAGTAAGCAAAGCTCATTGATAATGGCAATACTTTTTGTGTTTCAGCTTCTGCTTTGCTTGCTTGCTTAAGAAGCTGTGAGCTACTCAGTTTGGCACAGATGGGCCTCAAGTTCATGAATCCGAGATAGGCAGGGAATGTGTGCCATTTCCTCCCTCACTTTGCAGGACATTGTGGATTGCCCCTATAAAAACTCTGTGAATGTGCTGTTCAGGGCCATATCTGCTAAGTGGTGTTCCCAGCTAGCAGGTTGGCCAGTTGCATTGCCTCTCACTGTAATAAAACTTTGTTGTGACTGTCACTGGTGTACGCAACATTCTGTTTTAGAGGTCAAGTGGATGCAAAACCAGCATTGTGGCACAGCCAGTCAACCCACTATCTGTCATGCACACATCAGACTGCTGGTTCAAGTTTCAGCTCTCCACTTTTAATCAAGCTCCCTGCTAATGTGTCTTGGAAAGCAGCAGAAGATGGCTCAAGTGCTTGGGAGCCTATCATCCATGTGGGAGAGCTGGATGGAATTCTGGGCTCCTGGCTTCTGCCTGGCTGAGCCCTGGTTACTGTGGCCATTTGGGGGATGATCCAGCAGATAGAAGATCTCTCTTTATCTTTCCCAAAGAAACAAATCCTTGACACACACACACACACACACAAACACATTCACACATATTGAAGGGTCAACTAAATCTTTTTTTTTTTTTAAAAAAAAAAAAAGCAAAACTGGAGGTGGGAGCATATTTTCTTTGCCAATAACTAGTTAGTTTTCAGTATAATTTAATAACTTTGTTGATCCTATCTACCTAGTTATGTATCTACTCAATCACGTAAGTATTGATCCAATGATTTTTTCCTTCATATTTTTTAAAGTAAAATTATGCCATTTTATTAATTCCATTGGCTGATAATTGCTCTATCGTATAAATATACAGTGTAGTACAAAAAAAATCACAAAATGTTACAAAATTAAAAAACTACAAACTGCATTACTTAATAAATATAACTAAAAATAGTTATAGTGGCAATGAGATAAGATTCTTAGGTTGGAAACAGTGTTTGACCCAGCAAACTACAGAAGCTCTGTTTACAACCTTTGTTTATAAAAAACGGGGAAATCTTATTTTGCCTTTTGAATACACAACATGAAGACAGTATTTCCTTGTTTAAAAAGTAAATTCCTGCCAAGGTTGGTTCCAGCTATATGCTTTTCAAACTCTCCTTTTCCTTCCAATCTCTCTTTTAAACAGAAGTGATAAAGCAGGAAAGTTTATCCGGTCACAAAGTTATAATCCAGGAGTTAAATTCCTTGGGTAACAAAATGACCACGACTGTAAATAAGGCAACCGACAGCAACAGACAACCTGACAGCATCAGACAACCCGCTCTGAAAATAGCCAGAGGACAGAATCCTTGCTGAGGCGCTCACAGAAAACATTAAACTTTCAAACAGATAGAAAACCCAGTCTCCACCACCTCCCCTCCCCCACTACAAGTTCTCTCTCTTCTTCCACATGGGAAGGTTGTGGGACATCTCGAGTGTTCCAGCTTTGGCGATCCTACTGCTATTTATAATGTGCCGTTAGGTGTAAAGCACTCTTTGCATTTGCAAGCTGATTGATCCTAGTGTAAATTTTGTTCATTCCTGGTGGTCTATAATATATATATAATATATACAATATATATTAATGTAAATATAATTAATATAAATATAAGTATTTTTTTGCACAGAATATTTTAAATACAACTGACGCACCCGCGTCTGAGATGTGCTCCATTTTGGACAGATTGCTTTCCAAAAGAAATAGAAAAGAAATAGTTTCTACGAAGTTTATTCTACAGGACAGACTTTGTGGCGTTTGGCTGGAATGTCACGATTCTGTGTGACATTTCTCCATGTATCTGTGTGGTGAACAAGGATTGGCCCATTCCATAATGAGGAAACAGATTTGTTGTTCATTATTTTTCTAGCACTGGTCAATCTTTTTTCCTTCAGATTTTTAAGAAAACACCACACATTTAGCTTAACTGCTGTCTAAGTTACAAATGCAAGAAATAATTACTCTATGCAAACTTGTGCCCCTTTCATTCAGTTCTCCTTTGTCTTAATGCCTGGGTTTGGTATCTGGCTCTGCTACTGATTCCAGCTTCTTGCTAATGCAGATCCTGGGAGTGAGATCTCAAGTGGGAGTCCTCACTGCATTCCTCACTACTGGCTATGATCCAAGCAGGCACCTGTTAGGAACTGGAAGAATGAACCAGCATATGAGAGCTCACTCTAACAACATAAAACTAATACTTGAGTCAGAAATCATACATTCACACACATAAACATGCTTTAAACGGACACACTTTAGAATACAATAAGCATTAGGCAACTCTGATAGTCCTTTATCAATTATGATAATGAGTTAGGTTTTTGGTTTAAATCATGAAGTGGAACATGCTACAGTAAACAACTGGACAGCAAAAACAGCATTTACAGTAAAATCCATCAGGCTGAGATAAATGCAAACTGAGAAAAAAGAAGTTTTAAATATCAGTAAGCCAACACTAATACAAAAAACAAGCAATGGGGGGGCCAGCAACAGTGGTTAGGCTGCTTCCTGCACTGCCAGCATGCCATGAGTGCTAGTTTCAACTTCCAACTGTGAATAGGCAGATGGAAGATCAACCTCTCTCTCTCCCCATCTTTTAGATAAATAAATGAAATTTTAAAAAGAAAAAGAGGCAGTGGATAAGAATAGGAGTGCAGCCAAAGAGATATGAATGGCATTGTTTATGAAAAAACATTCAACACTGATCATTAGACATAAAAAAAGAATCCCTATTACCTTACTACTTTCCAACAGTAATAATAGGAAAAACTACAAAATTTTGACAACATTGCACAATAGCAAAAATGTGAGAAAACAGGCACTCTTATGCATAGCTTGTGAGAATACAAATTACCACTTCAATGGAGAAAAACAGCAATATTTATGAAAATATAAAATGCATCTGCTCACACACTATATATGTGTATATATATAGCATTTTATTAAGATATATCACACACATCATAAAATATGCTGTCTACATATCAGTGTGTACTTTAATAGATTCACCATGTTGTATAAACATTACTAATTTTAGATTATTTCTATCACTTCTAAAAGAAATTCAATGCTCATTAGCAATCATTCTCAATGTGCCCCACATGACAGTTCCTGGCCAACTACCAACCTTTTGGTTACACGTGTCTTTGATTAGGAATAACTCTGCTGTCAATATCTCTGCAAGTTCTTGCATGCACATGTTTCCTATTCTCTTGGGTATATGCCTAGAGGTAGTGTTACTGGATTGTATGTAACTCTACTTTATTTAATATTTTTAAGAACTACCTAATTTATTTCCAAAGTGACTGTGTCATCTTACAGCCCCATC